CTCGGTTACCAACTGAACTCAGTTATCAACTGAAGCTGTCAAAGTTATAAAATAGGCCTGCAGGGCATGAGCGAATCCATGAAGCGGAACTTCTACGCAGCGTTGCCAATGTCAATTGTTCAAAATCCCCAAAAATCAACATTTAAATCCCCAAATTTGGGGAGAGCAATTGATATTCCCCACATCTCGAGTTCCCATTATTTATTATAAGCCCACCGCTTAAAATGTAACAAAGAATTAATAAACTCAAAATGTAACCATCTATTACGTTTGCTGTGAATGTAAATGACAAACAGAATGTAAAATGTAAATCAAATTATGTGACACAATAACTTTAGCAACATTAGTTAGAACAGTTCCGAAGTTTAGCGCTAGATAGCATTGGTATAGAAAACGCAATTTCTAAATCGCGGTGTTAAGATGTTTTCTATGCTATCTATGCATCACCTCTTCTCTTAGGCTTAACTCACACTGGAACAGTTTTTAAACTACAACGCCTGGCGCTCGCATTAGTGCGCCCAGATCACAGTGTCTGACGCCTCACCGCGCCCAAGTAACACGCGGCGACGCGCGAAACCGCTCGACTTCAAGCAAGCGTTTATGCGCGAATGCGCGCATTTCCATGTTTGCATAACACAAATTTGTACTTTAATGATGGGAAAATAGAGATGAATAAGCTATAGGCGAAAAACTTGATGCGTCGCGACGCTTCGACTGTACGCCAGTGTGAGTTGAGCCTTACTAGTGTTTGTAACAATAGTTCCAATGTTTACCACTAACCACTAAATGGCATTGCAAAGAAAATGCAATTTCAGAATCGCGATGTTAAGATTTTCCCTAATGTAATGAGTTACTAGTATTTTTATAGCGATGCCGAATCAAGCCGAGCGATTACCGAGTGGATACCAACACGAAATCATATATTTTCCAAACTATATACCGATATTGCTTCGTATCAGATATTCACTGATATCAACGCGAAACCATTTTTTGTGCGTCTTCGAAACTGTATATTAACATTGGCCCACATTGCTCTTGTAATATTATATCCAGTAATATATATTCCGAATATCAGTAACGGCAATGTGTCAACGTAGCGCGCACGCGGGCTATATCCATGAATATATAGTTTTAGAAAATATATATTTTCGAAATCCGATTTCGAATATTGATATATAGTTTCGATACAATATTCAGAAAAAACTACATTACCCATTCCTTCAATTTAGAAACAAGTGCTTTGATCCTACCGAATAATTCTATATAAGTGTTTTACTAATAATAATTCTATACATGTTGCTATATAAGCGAACGATGTGCAATGTTGAAAAAATATCGATGTCGTTCATCAGAGTTTTTTTTAGTAACCATTAACCTAGTGGTGCAACAGCAATCGATAGATTAGAGAAAATGATAAAATGTCAGAATCTCCGTCTTTTCCCCACATAGCGTTAATACATCACAAAACTCCCAATCGAGTTGAAGATCCCCGCAATTTGGAGAATTTCTCACAAATTGGCAACCCTGCTTATAAAGTAAATGAAGCAAATAACAAAAACCATACAGCCAGAATCAGGGAATAAGCATATGAGACGTGAAGCCTTCTTTTCATGAGCAGTTTCTAGAAAAGCAAAAAATTATTCTAGATTAAAAACATAGCGAAAAACGGCGTTCAAATCGAAGACTGACACTATCGTTTAAAAATTTACAAGTAAAAAGACAAAGCGTACATAGTACATAAAATATTCTGTGACGTAGAACATAATAAGAGCCTTAGAATTGTATTTTTCCAATTTTTCAGAATTATTTCCACTATACATATGTACATGCCTATTCGAAATTTTTTCGTTAAATTACCCAACAGTAGAGTACTTGACAGAATTAATGGTGTTTTCGATAGAAAAAATAATCTATTTTATTCAAGTAAAGTTGACTGTACCTACTTAAAAAAGGAACCAGGATTATTAAGACAATGATTTCTACCTATAAACATTATTGTGTATTCTTAAATCATCGCGCTTTACGTAGGTACAGTCAAGAGCACATCAAGCTTGACACTTTGGACTTTGGACCGTTCTTATTGCAAGCGGCATTGAGTTAAATTTAAACCTGTAATGTCTAGCTTGACGCTTCCTAACCCTTTCGATTGATGTTCTATGCAACCAAAGGCCTTATCGTAAGTGCTGGATTGAATTTAAATCTTAACTATAAAAGTAATTAAACATAAGTTAGGCCTTTCCAATGCGAGAGTGAATAGGCATTATTTAGATGTGCAGACTAATCGTCGACCTGTGGTCCAACCTCATGGTCGCTTTTCATCAGTGAAACGAGACGTCAAATGCACACTTTTTTATTAAAAAATATTCGGTCACTGCTGGTACATAATTTAGATTGTTCCTGTAGGTACAGGAAGTGAGAAGACGTAAACGAGAGAGTGACGACGCCGGATCGGAGGAATTTTTTGTAAGTGATCTTTGTTATTAATAATTATAATAATAAACTAGTGGAGCAATTTCCCAAAAAAAAAACTGAATGTCATGGTAATATAAATCATTATGACATTCATTATAAACTTCAGAATAACAATTATTAAAGCAACATCTCTAATCAGCGATGATAGCTATAAAGGTATCTCTCTGGGTATATTTCATAAACTGGATCGCGCACTTCGACATACTAATATTACAAATTTACGCTTTATTGGGTTACGTTAAGGTTTATTTTAAGTAAAAGTAAAAAACCGAGTCACGTGAGATAGCTCGAAGTCGCAGTCAATCCTTGTCTAACAAGTTGCTAATGCTAAATAAAATCATTTTTTTTAAATTTTGGTTAAATAAAATTAGCTAAAAGGTAATATGATTTTACTAATAGTAAAATAAATATATATTTAATAAAATATAATATAAAATAATAAAAATATATATATCAACAATGAAACCTTCTATTATGAAGTAGCTCAAATAAGTATACTAATTTGTATTATGAAATAATAGTAGTAGTTTTGGTCATCCTTAAGCGGCCACATTTTCTGTAAAAATTAAAATGTTAAAAACAATATCGCCAAAATATCCCTGGCGAAACATGAATGAACACCTATAGAAAGAGACGCATTACTACTTTGAAGCCTCTCACTCGGCTCGTTTTATTAACTTGTGCGCGGTCCAGTTTAATATACAAATCCGTGCTCTGATTATACGTAGTATCTTTTCCGAAGTCTGTGCTGAGTGAAGAAATTAATTTCTCACAGATGGCGCTACGGCATAAAGTCATTAAAACCAAAAACAAAGATCTACAACAAGTACAGAGAAATTCGATCGTAAGGTCGATTCCGTGGCTTAGTTGGCATAGGCTCTGCCACGGTTTGCTCGGAGACGCGCCGTCGCGGTCGGTTCGAACCGGACGGATTGAAGGATTTTTTCTAAGTGTTCCATTTTTGTTATTAATAATTAAAACAAACTAGTGATTTCACAAAAAAATTATTGAATATCATGGCAGTAAAAAATCGTCACATTCGATAAAAACTTGAAACATACCTAAAGGTGTTTATTAATAAAGGTCTACAAAAGGGATTTTATTTAAACAATTAATATGTTGGGGTACTTATAATAAGCATAAGTTTAATAATAAAATTCATATAAACCTCTATTTATATAAACATAAAAATAGCATATAAAATTAACACAAAAGTAACTCTTAAAAAATAGATTTCAAAAGTGTAATAGCTGTAATATACCTTCTTCATGTATGTATGTACTTAAGGAATTAGTAACTCCATTAAGTATGTCATATTTACTCGACTCTGCGGAAGTATCTTTTTGCTGGAGTTTTGGCTTTGTCATGGGTTAGTGTCTGAAAATATTAATACAATATCATCACTCTTCTGATGTGCTACACTCCGTTAAAAATTTTAAGTACAGTTTTATGCTACAAGAAATAAAACAAAAATTCAAAATTTTTTTTTTTACACAACATTTAAAAATGTGAATATAGTGACCATGAACTATTTCTTATACTACACAGTTTTAAGTTTATTATTTACTAATGAGTTAGAACTTACAATTGACTTACCACAATACATTCTTCATCAGTGAAAAAATAATGCCTTCCACACTTGTCGCCAGTCTCATTAATAACTGAGTTTGTTACCATTTCACTTTCATTCTGTATTGTGGTTGTGCTCTACAATCAGTTGAAATATACTTACAATAAATTTGAAGACAGTCAAATTCATTGTATAATTAAGAGATCCTTAAATTCATAGACTTGTAATATGTCTAATGCATAGTTTTTTAAAGTGGTCCCTACTGCCCCCCAGTGAGCGGTGAAGAGTCCTAGAGGAGCTGCAGGGGCCTCAGAAGCAAATTGGAGGACGTTGATGCTGTCCAGGGGGTGCTACCGCATTTGAAAAAGAAACCTAAATTATTATACATATAAACTACACTATTTATTTAGTCTTTCCTTGTGGTTTTTTTGTGTTAAGTTAAAAAGTTTGAGAACCATAGGGTCTAATGTAGTTTTAAGTTTATTTTTATATGTACACACTGAGTAATACTTACTGAAAAAAAAATTACCAAGAATAGCATTAGAACATAGGCCTCATAAAGGACAGTGTTTTTAGTAAGGACATTTCTGATCTCAAGCTAAATTAGAGTGAAGATTAAGATTCTGTTATGAAACAGATGAGACATTTTTGCAAGCTCTAATGGATAACGACTTGCCCCAGCCAATGTATGTCGAGAATGGAAGGTGCAAAAGTACTATGTTTTTTAAAATTTTGTTGATTTTGCTTTGTGAGTTATAATTAATTAGTAGTGGTCACACAATAGAGAAGCACAGATGAAGGGCAGCACAGACCATGCATTACCCATTTTAATATAATCACAGACACAATAAATGCATTGATTCAAATTTCAACATAAAAATAAAAAATCGTAACTTGCAATAATAAGTATTGATGGTATAGAACTTTGAACAATATGCCAACAGGGTGAAGTTTAAATTATATTAACAGTCCATAATTTGTTATTTCTTTTTCAATTTGAAACTACGATAAATCATTATCAAGATTTCAGTGTTTCAAATTATGAATGTGAGTTTTGGCGCCAGCGGTTCTGATAGTAATCAGCACTTACTTTTTTTTTTATTCTACGAATATAATAATGAAAATTTAACTCGGACTTAGAATTGATTTTTGTATGTTCATAAAATAAAAATCTTTATTTGAAGTAAAGTTGTCCGTCTGATTTTTGAAGGGTTGAGTTTACCCGTGGATCTTTATAACTTCAAAGAGATGCCAAAATAGTGAGTTATTTGTTTTGATGAGTAAAATTACAGCCTAAAAATTTTTCAAACCAATTGTTATGGATTACTTTGCATACACAAAAATCAGTCAGTCAAAATATTGCAAGGATAGTTTAAAAAATATAGTTCCTCGTGTGTTAGATTTACTTAGGATTTAATTTTTTAATGAAATATTTTTTTGGATCCGGCTGACTGCAGTGCCCATAGTATCAAAAAAAACACCTGTGAGGCTCAAAACATTGGTTTGTTTGAAAAAAAAAAAAACTAATATACACAATTTAGAACTGAAAGAAAAACTATCAATATAAAAATATATACAAAAACATCTGCTATACTCCTGACAAAATTCTTTCACTTCCTCCCTTAGCACCAGTCCTTTCATACACCCATTTTTGTACCACTACATCCCCTACTACTAACTTTTTGTTAACTATAAAATGATTAAACTATTATTTACTTTAATAGTAGCATTTGGCATTCTTTCTTCATATTCCTCTCCAAGCTTGAAAGTGTTTTCTAAAGTTCTCATCAATGAAGAGCTTTTAATTGTCATCATGTCTCCATCCAGTGTGATCTCCATAAGAGGCGATGACATCGCCATCATCTTACGGGGGATGTATGGAACACCTATATTGTAATAATAATAAAACATATATTTTAATAATAATAATAATATGGTAGGTATTTTTTCATTATTTACTTTTTATATTATTACAATATAGGTGTTCCATACACCTATATTGTAATAATAATAAAACATATATTTTAATAATAATAATAATATGGTAGGTATTTTTTCATTTATTATTATTCATTTGTTGAGCATTGACTATAGAGCCATCAGCTTAAACAATCAATGAACATTATAAAAAAGTCAAAATATATTAATACATAAACTAAAAGTTTTTGTGAAAAAACTGTAACTACAAAATTCGACCACATTTTTCGTATTTTTTTTTTAATTTTTTGCCATTTTAAGTACAAGAAAGTACCTACATTTTTTATATTCTAAAAAAAAATTCAAAGTAATACATGTCATAGCAAAGATCAGGAAACAGATACACTTGAGTGCATTAAGATAAAAACACTGACAAACAAGTTCACAGAGTATTTATCTTTTTATCCCCTACAAATGATGACACAAGTTTCTAGAATATTCCGTAACCAATTGCAATACTTATGTGAAGGACATAGTATAGGTGCGAGATACCTTAATTGCAAAAAAAATGAAAGTGCGATTTCCTGCACGTGACCTTTATGGAAGAATACTTACCAACTGCGATGAAATAATCATCAAAATTCTCATTTTTATAGTGTTGATATTTGCCCGGAATCGACGGCATCACGTTTTCTTTACGAATATGCTAATAATGAGACTTAGGCGGGACACTCACACTGCATGGAAATAAAATAAACCAACACCCGTTCCGAAATTCGCGCTGACATTTGCGTTTCTTTAATTATGTCTTCAAATTCAAAATAGCCAAACTGCGAAAGCAATATGTTTTCGGTGCATATTGCCCGTACACTCACTCAAAAACTTTATTGCCGTAACGTGCTACAAAAGTGCACCAATTTCGGTGACGATTCTTAATATTGCCATACAATCATTGAAACTGCTAAATGCTGTTAATTTCAGAAATAAATGTACAGATGTCACAATCAAGCAGAGATAATTAAAAGTATAATATGTTTGTTACGGTGTGGTAAATTGGTAATGTCCGCAACTCGACATAATTATTATTAGATTTTGATTTAAATATTTCTTTCAAGACGCGCGTTAATGTGCCTTGGAGTATTTGACCCTGACATTACCCTTATTACTTTTTGTTTATCCATAGTCGATCTTTTTATAGAGGTAATAAAGATGATTATTATTCTTTACATAAATCTATTAATTCAGATACCTAACCAACATAGTTTATTATTTTTATATATATATCTTATATAACTATGAATTGAAAATGTCAGATTTTCACTTGTGGCTATTTTTATGGGAAGCCATGTTCAACAAGGATGTCTTGCGGTTGAAATTACTGAAGTGGTGGTGATGGTATGACGCTATTTGAAATAGGTACGTTTTTGGAATGACAAGTGTTATTAAAGTTTTGTTACTGATGGTAACATTTAGTCATAAAGTGCACTCCAAAACTTAATGTATACACAATACAAAAAAGAAGGGGTTAATAATTTATTAGAATACAAGAAACAGTGGAATTTCAATTTTAGCCAGTTACCAGATGGGGTTAGGATACGGACGAAATAAAATACACAAATGTCATTTTGTTTGATGAATCATGTTTTTGAACAGACGCAATTGGGTGTGTGTGTTTTCAATGGACGTGACGTGTGTGAGCGAGATGTGAATTGTATGTTTTGAATTTTATAAAAAAACTACGAAACGAACATTATTTTATAAGATATTAATGTGATGATATCTTAAGTTAACAGTGTATTTGTGTACAATTCCCAATAAAGTTATCCACCTAAGGAACTGATTCATTTAAGTGTTAAACAGCTCTTCTCGTCTTTTGTTGATCGATTCTTATTATATTTGTTTGGACCTAAAAACTGGGAAGATGTGTGACAAGGAAGATTATTTGACTGGTTACCGGGTGTTCTTCGAGAACTTCGCGGCGACGGTAAATCCAGAGGACCAACTACCAGTGAATATAGCTGGGTACACAATCACAGAATCCGAATTACCGGGAGAGGTACTTTACTGGACCACTCAGTACCTAACCGAGAAGTAAGTAATAATAATAAGATCTTATGTACTTGTAAACATCGATTATAATTCAGTCGATTTATTTATATAGACTAAATCGTTTTACTATTGCTTAGTTAACAAACAAATAAACAGCTCTGCGTATACTTTGTCCATATTACCATAAGTTGTACCAACATCATGTGTGGTTCCTTCATGATATATTTACCAACATTCATCAAAAAATTTGAAAATACAAATATTTATTTTCTTTGATAAATTTGATAATATGTTGTCAATATTCTTAATGTTTGTGCATTATCTGGCACGTAGCTCTGCTTTGTTTAATATTTCACAAAATAATTATCAGGTTTGGAAAAGAAATTAAAACATTTGACTTAACTATTTTTACAATACATTTTATTAAGAATGTGGCACATCTAAGCTTTAGATAACAAATTAAAATATATATTAATATACAATAGTTTGCAAAATGCAATGCTATTTGTAGATTAGTACTGAAATAAAGGCTTAAAAAAATTTTACTAAGACTTGTTTTGCGTTTCCTCAAAAATATTACTGAAATATATTTTGCAGCATAATTTTTCTTTACACTTATTACAGCATGTGTTGTAAATACACTGGACCACATAACTTTAAATATAAAATCTTAATTGAAAAATTTGCATTGTTCCTATTATACTCTTGTTTGTAATACCTATTACAGTATTTGTTTCAAGCTTATAAATAACATATTATTTAAAACACATTTAAACTGTAAACAGGACAAAACTGGTTATGAATATCTTAATTTAAATTTATACCTATTGTATGGTACTATAAGTTTTATAAATAACACATGGTGATGTATTAGTGGAAATTGGATGGCTGGTTTTGTTTGCCAAGTGTGGATTTTGAAATTCTATTTGCAAAATTTTTACAAATTTAATGTCTTCAAAAAACTGCTGTAAAAAGTGTATAAACTAGGCCTATGGTTTGGTAAGTCCTTGACTCTCTTATTCATATCATCACTTGCAATGCATCAGTGAAAGAAAATATTGTATTAAACTTCACATAAACTCAATGATGTGAATGCCCCAACCTTTTTTGGTTAGCCTATACTTTATTTCATCAATCATAGTAGGGGTCAACCGTGAACATGGGAGTTGTAAAGGGCCCAAAACGTTGGTTTGTTTGAAAAAACAAATATATGCAATTTAGATATGAAAAAATAGTTTCATTTTCTATGTGTAACAATTACGAAAACCTAGGTTTTCCTAGGAACTCTATATCTAAACTTTCTTTCCGACTAATTCTTGCTCATCAGTACTTATGTATATATATATAGTTAAGGTCTATGATTGAATTTACATTATAAACAGAATGAAAATTGATGCCTGAAGTTAATACCAGTCCTAGAGCTATTGTTTTCACAAGTAATTTGATAACCTTTCACAAATATAATTTTTTGCAAATATACCTGAGCTTTAACCTGAGCATGTTAATGTTTTCCTAAATTATTCCAGTAACAATGTTTAAATCGTAGATATAAAATAAACAAAATTAAATACTCTGCATGGTGTGTAAATACCTAAAATGTTTCTATCTACTATCATGAAAATTGGAGCAAGTTACTCAGTCTCAATTATTAGCTTCTCCATATCAATGAACTTTACTTCAGGACATTCACATCAACATTTTGGGCTATGTTTTGTTGGAAATATATGCAAATATTTGCTCAAGTGTTTTAACTATGTATATATAACTATGCAAGACTGTCATTTTTACGATCTGAGAAAACATAGATTTGTTTATTATAGTTCTGTTTTCTACTAATAAAATTCTATATTAATTAAGGTAATTATACTAAAAAGAGACCATTTATGAACAATTTTATTCAGATAAGTTATTATTATTCACAAATATGTGAATAAATATTGTTGTTGTAGTTAAGTGATAGATTGCAGAAAATAGTAATATGTGAAAGATGTGGTTTGAAAAAGGATGTGGTGAGAGAAAGGAATGTTGAGGCGGTTTGGGCATGTAGAGCAGATGGATGTAAGAAGAATTACCAAACAGATTTATGACGCGAATGTGGATGGAAGGGTTTTAAGAGGATGTCCCAGAAGGACTTACATTGACCAGATCAGTGATGGTTTCAAAAGAGGTTAGGATCAGAAGTGACATGAATAAAACAAGTTGTATGAAAAGGGTAGTTCATTGTATGTGAGGCTAGAAAATTGTGTCAGGATAGAGTAAGGCGGCGTTCCGTGGCCTCTGCCTACCCCTCCTGTGGGACAAGGGCGTGAGCTTTATGTACGTATGAATAAATATCACCAAATTTCTTTTTAAATTCCGCACGTCTTTCCCTTCCGTCGTTCATCCTTCCTGCTTGTACTAATTTATTAGGGGTCAGCCCTCTTAATATATTTAGGCCAATTAGTGTGATTTAGGACACTCTCAGACGTTATGCATTTATGTGGTCAAGTCGTTATGAATAGTTTTGGCAGCGTAAAGGTGCTCGTGAAGTTACAGGCACATGGTACTTGTAAACTTTGTCTCATGGAGACGGGCGTAGTGGCATTACCCTCAGACCTTTGCAATTTGTATCTTAGTACTGTACCTGTCATGGGTAACACCATACGTACGGCTTGTGCGTCTTGTCACTTAATATCATAAAAAAAGGTTAATTGGATGCATTCCTCATTTGTCTTCTACATAGTTCATCACTTTTTAAAACTTGTGTTCTTCGCAGCGCGTGATGTGACTAAATTTGCGATGGCGACTTTGCTCTAATTTTTTACTGTAATTAAAAAGTTCCGCATATGTGCTTGTTTGTTAGTCTCTATAATCGGATTATTGCATCGAATCATTGCAGTATCTTCGTTGTAGCCCCAGCATTCAAATCGTACAAAATTATACAGATGGTTTCTTCTTCTTTTTACTTAATGGCCAGTATCGAGTTTTCCGCTTAGTAATTTTAAGGGCCTCTGTAGACTCTGCTATTTAGTGAGTATTGTGAGAGCGCAATGTGATATAAAAAAAACTGACTTATTAAATTTTAAAGCTGCAGAGCTGTTGAATTACCTGAAAGGGACAGAAAACAATATATATAGACAAATAGGAAATGAAACTATTTTTCCGGATTTAAATCGCTTATATTTGTTTTTTCAAACAAACCGACGTTTCGGGCTCTTTACAGGTCCCATGGTCATGGTTGACTGAAGTCGTACAGTCATCAACCAGTTATGTCTAATATTAATGCAAACCACCCTATTTTGTCACTATAGTCAAATAGTCAGTTTAATTAAATACCTTATTTTTAATTTTGCAAAGAAACATTCTAATTTACGCTACATTACGTTTTACAAATTATTTTATTGAATGAATTTTTATTAAGTTATAATTAATTAATAATAGAAATTAGAATAAATTAAAACATATTAATTAGTACTGCAGGCTTATATCTGTTTGGGATTTTTCATCAGAGGAAATACTTTTGTTTGAAAAACAAATATACGCGATTTAAATTCGGAAAAATAGTTTCATTTCCTATGTGTAACAATCGCGAAAATCTAAGAACTCGATATATAGACTAATGTTCGTAGGTATGTTAGGCAGGACGAACAAATTATAATCTTATATTATTGCTGGTTATATAATCACAAAGAACATTAATGCAAGACGTATAATAATAACGTATAATAAAGACGTATAATATTAACCTAAGACCACAAGAGTTAAAATCGTATTAAAATTTGTGAGTTTGAGAATGAATGAAGGTAGGATATTGTACAAGGAGACGGGGTACTTGTTACAATCGGAAAAAATGTGATCGGAGTTTCTTCGTCCAGCCAGCATCGCAAAGCGAACTGTCCCTTATTCTACAGATGGTTTATAGACGATGCCTTTGATTTTGATTGACATATATTCTGCTTTTTAATCAACCTCGGAGTTTTCTTTCGAGGGCCCACGCCCGTGTTTTTGATGCGATTTTCCTTAACCCTTCGTTTACAATATTTAAGTCCATTGCTTTGTGACAGCTGTAGAGCTCCTTCCTTGTGACAGAGTTCGTCCAGGTACTACCACTTAGCCTGTATCTGCTGCCAAGCAGTAATGTAAGCATTACTGCATTTCAGTTTTAAACGGTAAGGGTGCTGGTGAAATTAGAGGCACATGGAACTTTTCAACTTGTGTCTCAGGGCGACGGGTGCAGTGCCCCTCAGATCTTTGCAATTTAAAGCTCTGAGTACGCACGTCACACGACTCGTTCATCCCGTCACTGGGTATCATAAAAAAAGAAGATAATAGAAAATTGAACTATTATTTCGTATCTAAATCGCATATATTCGTTTTTACAAATAAAAGGTTTGTTAGAAAAAAATTAAAGTTCAGCACCGTCGCTCACTAGTCTAGGCGGCACTGAATGACAATTTGCACCAGACGCTTACTTTCGTGCCTTCATTGACTTAATTGAGTGTTGATCAACACAACGTCTGGTTACTAATGCAGCTGTAGCTTTTAATCATTTAAAGGTCAATTACGTGCGTTTCAATCAACCAGACCATTTTTTCAATACGCGCAGATTTGGGCCATTGTTTATTATTCTGCGCAACATTCGACAAGAGTTTTAACTCGTGGGTGGATTGACGCTTTTCACCTGGCGAATGGTTGAATCGAAAATCGTTCCACAAGTTTTCTTTTCAAAGAAGACAGTGTTATTGAACGGTTTATTTTCCTGGCCAATGTAAGGTTGACATCACACTTATCGACATGGAATCGTATTAAGCCGGTCAGAACAAGCATTGTGTCCTCGTTATAAGAGCGTAAAGACGTTATATCGGCGCTTATGACTTCCTGGCCGGTCGCGACTTAAGCCGATTCTGCGTTAATAAGTGTAGTGATTCCCTAATAGAGACGATTGTCTCTGTTCAGAATAATAGATATTAAATTCGTGCGCTTGGTGTTGGGTCATGGAAAAAAATCCATTCTGAAAAAATCTAGTTATTCAGAAAAATAAATATTTTTTAGGATACTTTTCG